CTTCCTGAAAGGCAAAATTCCCGACAAATTTGCTCTCCATTGGTCCTTTGGACGGATTTTGAGAATGGGAAGTGAGTTGTTAAAACCTGAAAAAAAAGATTTCTGGAAAAAAATCTTTGGACATTTGAAATTAAAGATGTCCAAAATCAGAAGCCCTGGTTCCTGTGAGATTCCCTGAGTTATTCCCACGGAAGATCAATGAGAATATGTGAGGGATAATACCCTTTTTTAATATTCTTTTTCAGGCATCTCCTAATCTCTGTGTCCTAAAGAGCTTTTTGGTGTGAGCTGATGTGTCTCCAAATATCTTCTTTCAGAAATAAGTTGCTTGAAGGTTATTTTGGTCAGATTTGGAGGCATTTAAAAAAAAAATTCTCAGAGAAATAGCCAGTTTGTCAGAACAACCCATCTCTCTATCAATTATTTTCAAAAATGCGACAAAGTTATTTTTAGATGAAAGGGTGTTATTTTTTTTCCCCTTAATTTTTAATTTCAGGAGCATAAATGTCCTCGAAGAAGTGAGCCATTCCATACTTTTCCATCATAAAAGCAGAAGAATTGGGTTTTTTAGAACAATTTAGGCTCTCTAATTGATGCCAAGGCCTTAAGGGACCACAGAGGATGAGTGGATTGGTTATTCCAGACCTACAAAACTCCACCTTGTACCTCTCCCTTCACTCCTACCCTTGGTGTGGCTGATGTCTCACTCCAAGCTGGAATGAATTCCACACATGGATCTTCCAGGGTAACCAAATTAAAGCGTAATAACACCGAGGAAATCCATGAACATGCCACCAAAACATCTTCAATCACTGTCCTGAATCATGAGGACATCCCAGTGTTGTGCTTTATAAGCTTGGACTCAGCTTCCACTTTATGCTGAATTATTGCTTTGGGGTTTGGTCTTTCTTTCCTTATTTTTTTAATTTAATTTTATTTTTTTTTTGAGTGGTTATGTGTATTATCCACAGAGGATCACTGTAAACAACACCCCAGGATAAGGATTGGGAATCACCTCTCCGTAGGGATGCAGCTCCACGACGATCCAGGTGGGTGATGCCGATGAGCTTCACGATGTTGGGGTGGTCCAGCTTCTTCAGCAGCACTGGGAGAATGGGAGAAACCTTGGGATGAGCTTCTGGGGCTCCCAGTCCCTATCCAAGGGGTGGGGGACAGAGATGGAGCAGGAAGAATTTCCTTGGATGGCCCTCTCCTGGTTTTTTGGGATCTGCATCCTGGTGGTGCCTG